GAGTTATTCTCATTGTGTAAGAAATTGATTTGACTTTAATGCATACAGTGGAAGGATGAAATTTATCTAACCTAGCACTAAGTAACACTCCTGTTATGAATAAAGACAATAAAGCCATTTCATTTCAGTCATCTGCACATACTCTTTTTCTTGCAAGTGCAACATCAAGTAGAAATAGAGCTTTAAGAACCATTTTTTAAAAATCTGAAATATATTATAAGAAATAATATATAATAATATAATTACATTATATATAATAAAATAATATAATGATAGCGTCTCACCTGATAATTTAGCAGGATTATATGTGAACTTCTGAGAACTGACTGAAATGGAAAAAGAAAATTTTCTTTGATTAAGTAACTGTAAAATTATTACTTCTTCCTTTGGTATTCATTAATATTTTTCTCTGATTAAGGTAAAATTTATATGACAAAAAGAGCTCAGCTGGCATACTGGCATTATATGCTTATAGGAAACATACCATAATTAAGCAATTAAAAAGAAGTCTTTTCAACAGACTGTTTAATGCATTTCAGTCCAAGATTACTTTCTTACATGAAGGTCCCAGTCCTTGAAGTGTTTCTTTAACAGCTCTTTTTTCAGAGGACTTGATGCTACCACCCATCTTCTTATAGGATGCTACAATATAATGGATAATTTATTTACATTTCTGCTAATATCAAATGAAAAAAACCCTCTTTTATAAATGGAAGATACAAACAGTTACAATGTAAGGAGTATTTATTCACTATTTCTGTTGTACCTTCCACTGTGTGCTAATTTAGGGGTAACCAGTAATGATGTAAAGCGAACTACAGTCTCCCATATAAAGAATTAAGAAAATTTACTATGAAAATGAAAATTCAAGGCTGTGTTTTGTACTGTGATATGGACTCCAGATCTGAATTTTTTTTCTTCATTAGGCAAGTTGCTACCCTTATGCCAAGATAAATAAGAGCTCTGATATATGTTTCAAAATGAGAGCCTCATTTGTTACTTATCCAAATAGCAGAGTATAACAGAATAGCGGAGTATAAAAGTTTTAGGCTAGACTCCCTGACCCAGTAAAAGAAACAACTGAAATGTATTGAAGACTCTAAACCACAGCAGAGGAACAATGAGGATACCTGTATAACAGCACAGTTACCAATCAGCTGAGAAAGCAGGTGGTGTGTTCTCTGACCAGAAAACAGAAAACTTACATTTAAACCCATAAAAGAATAATCTTTGCTTTAGTAAGCTGAAGGGATCCAGTGAAGCCTTTCCAGATGGAATTAAACAAAAACTTAGATGTAAGACTCAAACAGAGATATCACAATGCAAATAGCAGCCTTTGTCCTTATAAAGAACATCTGTTGTGAAGTTGTTTACATTCCTACCAAAGTGGAAAAGGGTATCACTAATTCTCCATTGCAGCCAGGCATGTAATGGGGGAGTAAAAAGTTATTGCTTAATATTTTTTACTAAATACACAGAGCTTTTCAGTAACTCACAGTTTTTTTACCTGAAAAAACAGATAAAGATTTGGGGCAAAGAGAAATATTCTCCTTTCTCATGATACTAATTTCCATATAACTTTCCAGGGATTTATTTATCAATTTCCCTTTATTTTATATTTTATTCCATTAATTTTGTAGTCCATTTCCCTCCTGTTACAAGGAGGAAAGAGGGTGTCCATTCATGAGTGCCTTGCTGAGCACTCTACTAGAAATGGAGAGCTTCCAGTCTGTGGGCTGGCAGTTTGCTCTCACTCTTCCAGAGAGAAAAACTAGACTGTTCTTAGCCTGAGGTCCTCAGGAAATTTGAGGTAGGCCATAAATTATAGGTTATTACTGCTTTTTAATGTTCCCTTTTCTGTTGTCCTGCTGTAGATTTTCAGAAGTAGTTGAGGTAGTTAAGTGGTCAGCAAGAGCAGGAGAACCAACACAAAAAAATGTTCTTGATTTACATTGAAAACACTTCATTTGATGTCACCAAGTTACACTTTTTGCAGTATTTTAACATTTTCAACAAAGTTTTAAATACTAGAGTTAAAGCCTTGCTGTTTAGAAGCAGCATTATAAAATTAATTTTTAATAAGTCTGTGATTTTTTAATGCTGGTTTATGATAACTACTAGGTTTCTCAGTGTTTGTGGTTTCTCTCCAATAGAATTCCTGCTCAGCATTACATTCCAAGTGGTTAGAGCACTCGCATATACATTTTTGGTTTTAACATACACACACACACACATATATAGGCTATTTCTTGTAAAGGAAATAGCACTCCAGTACTGCATGCAAAATGACAGCTGTGGATTTGTGCCACAGAACAATTTGACTTTATTCCTTCATGTGAGGTAGGCAAAAGTAGTTGTCAAATACAAAGACCACCAAGAGTAATGGAAGACCAGAGAGATGTAGGTTGGTAAGAAGGTTTGCTATAAATAAAACCATTCAAAAGTAAGCAGTGTAGTTTGTATATGGAAAAAATAATACTAGCAGTGCTTAAGGCCAAAAGAAAAAGTTTATTTGTAACTCAAATCCTACAATTTCTAGTTCTTATCATGCATTTCTTATGGTAAAGACCATATTGCATCATCTAGCTTACCTTGCCACTTCTTTACTTTTTGCCTCTTTATTTTTTGGCTTTTAGAAAAACAATTTATGAGGCAATCTGAGTGTATATGATTTAGAAATAAGTCACAGTAACATTTTTTATAGTGTCTTGAAATTACGAGCAAAATCTTTCTTTTTTTCTTCCTACACAAACTAGAGAAAAAACTCGTAGGAGAAACTTTACTATTAGCACAGCAGCCTGATTACAAAGGGCAATTAGTAATTTTGAAGAACACTAAAAAGACATGACCTGATTACAGCACAGTGATTAAGATACAGATATAGATTAAGATTAGGAAGTACTGATATGACCGACAGAATGAAATTAAAGTCACCTTTCTAGCAGCTAGTGATCTACCAAAGATCTTATGCTTTGCAGAAGTTGGAGTTGAGTGAAGGTAATGCACATTTTACTTTTATCCTGAAACATTTAGGTCCATGCCGTTTCCATGGGAGCCAGCAGCTACACACCTTTGGTCCTCAACTTGATTCTGATACTACTGGTGTATGTTTCACGTGTGTGGTTAAATATACATAATCCTGGGTGATTTATCATACAAAAATCAAGCACATGGCAAATAGCTGCAGGAGTCAAAAGCTGTGAAGCTTAATGTCAAATACTTGTCCCGCTGAATTTTTTTTCTGAAGGAAATTCTTAGAGAACTGTTAAAATCGTGCTGAATGGTCATTCTCAGACAGTGAGAAGTGCAGTTGGAGTCAGACCCCTCTTTCTGAGGAGAACTGCTCCTGTGCCATAATTAGAGGCGCTGAAGCACCCTCCACAAAACACAGTAGTTCCTTTAATAAGTGACACTGAACTCTATCCCAGCCTACAGCAGCCTTCTCAGCTTCAAACACAAAAGCAGCCAAGTCTCAAAAACTTCAAAGAAAGCTTTTCATTTTATTTTCTCCTTGATCCACTCATAGAGCAGTTCATTTTCTTGAGTTTTGTAAAATGACTTTTCACTCATCAGACCTGTGTAACAAATCACTGTCTCAATCACCAAATGTTCCCGTTTGACTCATCTGCTTTTCCTTTGGCCTTTGGGTAGGAAGCTTCACTTCTGAAACATTTTCTAAATTCACTTTGGTGAACTCTTCCCCCTCAGTTGCACTTTGTGCCATTTTAAAAAAATAATTGCATTTCCTGCAACATAATGTGCTAGTTTCAGGGTTTAAAATTTCATCAGAACCCACGTTTTCTTTCTTAGAGAAATGTCTTTCTTTTAAAAATCATCATTTTCTACCACATTACCAGCTGTAACATGGTGCCTTTAAAGCAGTAAATGCTATAAGATTTTTCCAGGATTCTGTTGCATTCTGCTAACTTAGAACAGGTTTTTTACTAATGAGACATTTGTACTCTCATGTATATTGTTTTGGTTTTTGATGGTCAAAGATTTTCTAATTTCTGAACTTTGCTGCTGCAGTCTATGCTAAGACAGTATCTCCTCTGAGGAAAACTGTAACACAAGACTGTCAATAATCCTAATATTTTTCAGTGTTAAAAAGGCTGGAAATCTATAAAGTTTCATTCCTCCAGGCTTTTTCTGCCTCACAGCAAATAGGCAAACTTCACACAGTTATTCTCCACAGGGAATGTAGTCAATCCTTTCCAAGACGTAAAAGTGAATTGTGTAATGTGAATTATATTTTCAACCAGGTGCTTACATTTCCAGGTGTACCATCCAGTAATGTAAAATCCAGAACTTTGCAGGACATCAGAGCATTGTAAATTTTTATACAATTATGCTCCAAAAGAGCATAAAACAGGCTGTGTTGTGATCTTTGCTTACTGGGACTAACTGGAAGAGAAACACTGCCGGTTTTACACTCATGGTGAGTCTAATCACTGTAAGTTCCACAGAGTCAACCTGACCATGTTCTCCTGTGTGACAGCAGCTTTTAGCCTTTTTCCTTAATTTCTCAGGTTAGACATCAGTCTTCAAAAGATAAGTAAATCTGAGCAGATGTACCATTTAGAAAAAACAGTGGTCACTCCATAGAGAAAGGAAGCAGTAGAGAAAAAACAGCTTCTGAATGACAGAAAAGCAGTATGGAGCACATGGTTCTAGAGAATTAAAAAAGTCAGAGTTGTTTGACCAAAACCCCTCAGATCCTGAGTCAGAACCAGCTTGACAGATGCACCCATGTTTGACACGATTCAGTGCCATTTGTCTTTTACCTTACCAAACATCTGCTTGTACCGTGCTGCCTGTGTGTTCCCATTCCCTGGCTTCCAGTGGGCTCTCCCACATTTTCCTCTGCTTGAGGTTTGCTCTTTCCATCCTTTCTGCAAAAAGGGTGGCAAACCCTCACCTCCATCTCTGTCCCCGTGTCCCCTCAGCCGTGTCCCCTCAGCCGTGTCCCCAGAGCTCTGTCCCAAGCCCAGGGAGGCCGAGGCCGGGGCTGAGGGCAGGGCTGTGGGGACCCTCCCGGAGCCCTCACCAAGAGCTTGGCCCACAGAGCCCCACCAGAAGGCAGAAATGAACCTGAACACTTTGTTCCAGCAAATTCAATTCACGGAGAAGCAGGCGAGGGAGAAGAGGAGCTTCATCCAACAAGGTCAGCCCCATCCTGAGGGGCCTCGCCAGTCCCACAGAGGTGTCCTGAGGGGACTGGTGCCAGGGAAAGCTTGGCAGAGCCAGCATGGCTGGTTCTGGCCACCAGCACGTTTCTGTAAGGATGCAATGTTTACAAACTCAGCACATACTCTTACAGCTTTTTGTTGTCTTGCAGCTAAATGTGACATAAATAGAAGTTATGAAAAAATTAACCAAATAAAAGAAGAGCTGAGCGCTGCAAAAATTAATTTAGAAAGCAAGGTGAGCAGGCATATTTATAGTGTACATAATAATGAAATATGTTGTGTTTACAAATATACGACCTATTCTTTCAGGAATAAGCACTTTCGAGGAAGTGCTTCACCCGCTGAGTAGCACAGCGTGGAGGAAACCTGCACTGTGCCTTTCTGAATTAAAAATGTGTCTGTCAACATCCTTCTTCCCACAGATCTCACCCTGGCTGTGTTCAGGGCAGGCTGACTTTTGGGGCCAGACCCCATTTTAACAGTCCTACAACTTGCTACAGCACTTTCCTCCAGTGTGCAGAAGCCATCCCTTGGTTGCCCAATGCCATTTATTAATGGCCTTTCACAGAAAATACATGGAAACATTCCCTATATTTATTTCACAAGATCTTAAGTCATATACTGAAGATCTTTCTGTGAGCTTACAGTTAAGGCTTACAAGCCCTAAGTGTTTTCCTAGGGAGGCCAAAGATAGAGGAAAGTTTCTGAATCTTTTTTTTTGTGATTTTATTACTCTTTCCATTCAATCAAACTGCAGATGTATTTTCAGATTAAGCCACGGGTGTTGCAGAGTTCTTTTATCAACAACACCTGTGGTTGAGAATTATTTTAAAATCTATTTGCTTGTGTCTGAAAATTAAGTCTAAATACCCTCCCCTGTGCTCTTAAGTATCTGTGCTGACAGAATGTGTGTTCACAACAGGAAAGCATGTGGAGCCTCCTTTGAAGTCAGAGCTGTTGGATCCTATAATTTAAATAAACAGCTTCAAGAACCTTTGGGAGATTGCCTTATCTAGTTGTGAAAATAAATGTTTGGAGGATGACTTTCATCCTTCCTAAAACAGTCTCTTCTGCCTTTTGTAACAGACTATATAATATATATATATATCAACATTGCTGAGAAGGGATCAGAATAGAACTCATTTACAAATATTTACTGGTTGCAAATTGACACTATAATCATGTAGGCAGTTATTCAGACACTCACATTTATGCATGCCACAATCTCAGAGCCCAAAGGTGCTTGAAAATAGTAACTTATTTATCCAGCACAGATTATATCTGGATGTTGCTTGTTAGGTGAAGTCCTCAGTAGTCCTATTCATAAGTTTATTTACGAACATCACAATTTTATGTTTATACTACTAATTTGTTATTGATGCATTGTGATTTATAATCAAGGTTTATGTGGTAGGTACAGAAGGTTCTGAGAGTGGAGCCATTATTGTAAATGACTAATGGAAAAGCTGAAGAACTACATCTAATTAAATTTTATGTGCTTTACTGACCAGTATTAATGATATTCTCACTGATGTCCATGAAAATACATTTTACTTGCTTGCCTAGTCTGATGTTGATTCATTTATAGATAGGAAATGATACAGAAAAAGTGGAATAGTTCATGTAATTCAAATAGTATTAAATAATGCTGTTCAATTTATCCCACATCAAATAACTGCAGTTCTTTACAAGCACACATATCCAACCATGTGCATACTCAGCACCTGATGCCTGACCAAGATGATGAGGCAGTTCAGAAGTTTTTTGACATCTATTTCACAGGCACTGCCTGTGGTCAATCAAAGAGTCCTAGGAAATGCAGTTTTCCCCTCTCTTCTGTAAAACCAAGTAGCATGTAATTAGAACCCAAATTACAGCATTTTTCTGTTTGTAGCTCAATGATTTTTTAAAAAAATTGGTTGCAAATGCATAGATGAATTTTGGCAACTCGAAGAAACTACACTGAAGCTAGTTATGTGCAAATAACTATTTTTAGTTATTACAAATACAGTGATGTAAGACCACCTGCTTTCTTTGAATTAACATGTAAAATAAATTCTGACTGGCAAACTTAGCATGCTGGACATATCAGGGATGAGGAAAAAAATCTAGTCCTTTCCTTTCAAACTCTAACATTGCAGTCTGTGGGCATTTCATTCTACTATCCTCCTATTTTGATCAAATGCACTTCATCTGTGCCCTCTCCACAATCATGTGCATTATTTATCTTAAAAATATTTTCATTTTTTACCACTGTAATTTGGTCTTTTCTGCTTCTACACACACAAACATTTGTGTATCAGCCTGACTGTCTAATTTAATTCTTGATACTTACCCTGTGCCTTTACTCTCTGTAGGCAAATCTTAATCTTAATCTTTGCTTTACCCTAAGTCATTGCTTTGAGTCAAGAGAACTTGAAATGCCATCAAATAAATTATTCTCCTCCTTTAAGATTCTACAACACTTAGCTGTTTCCTATTTGTTATTGTTTTAGTTTATTAGTTTATCCCACCACATATCAGCACTTTGGTTAGATGATGATACAGTAGGTGTGCCAGAAAAATGAGAAGTCTTCAGCAAATTTTGAAAAGGCAGTGGTTGAACAGCATACCCTCCTATCAGATAAAGTAATGGTTAAAATTAATAAAACTCTAAATAAACCTGGGTGCAATATTGAGGTTTAGGGCTTGGGGGGTTTATGATCAAACTATCAATAACCAGTGAGCTAATTCCCATTATCCTTCCTCAGCTAAAAATTCCAGAAATTGTGCTCAGAAAAATATCCTGCTCTCCTTTGCATATTCCATAGCAGCATTGCAGAGTAGATGACTTGTACAGCCATTCAGCCAAAACCAGGATGCTGGACCCCTGTCCTCCTGATATTATTTTGATATTATTGTCTCATTTGATTCATGATGAGCTTTACACAGTGACATGGAGGACAGTGGATCATTGGATCATTGACCATGTGGTCAATATTTTTCCTGGAAAAAATTTCTTCTAAACCTAGCAGACTTTAAAATGCCAATTTATAACGATAGAGCAACACTAAATAAGTCTTTCAAAGAAAGGAAACTTCTCAAAATCTTAGCAGTATACTGAAAGTTAACTGAGGAAAAAAAAAAAAAAGAGCTGTTATGCTTTTGTTAGTCCAGCAGCTGTGCCAACTCTTTTTAAACTGGACCAAGATCCTTGTGTACAATTTCAGAGTATATGAAATAATTAAACAGTAACTTTACTTTTTTTTTCCCTTTTGGAAGGTTCAGCATCTGTCTGCAAAGCAGTTCAATGTAGAAATTCTGAAGAAACAAGAAGAGAGCTTAGAAAAACAAAAAGCTGAACTTATTAATCAAAGAACCAGTCTTCTTAAAATCATGGTATGTTTCCAGCTGTGATATTCACACAGCTCTTTTCTACTGTACAAGAGCAATCAGCTTTAAAATTTGAAAATCTGGAAAAGCTAATGTTTTAATCAAAAAGTTTTCATTTTGTTTTATAGTACTATATGTAACAATGTAAACTTAGATAAATTCTCACATTTCATTTAAACCATGATCTGGTAGTGTTTGCTGCATTTTATCTCCAGAGTTGATTTTATATTCTTGACTTAATTTTCTAATATTTGCTGTTGTATGAGTGAACTCCAATTCTGACAGATTATTTCCTTTGTAAAAGTAAGCTATGGAAGCCTCACCTTAAATTGGATTGCCTCATCCACCGTAAAATATATTGAAAAGGATCAAAGGAAAACTCCAGGGAGGCCCACACCACATTTTAGCAAATGTGGACAGTTTAGCAATCCTGGCATAACACACAATCTCTTTGGTGCCAGACACACCTCACCACCTCTTCAAAGGTAGTTACTTACAAGTTTTCCAGTTCTCTGATTCTAACCTGACTGTTGCCCTCCTCTTACTTTGCTGAGCCTTCTTGGATCTGTACAATGAAGAAATGCCACAGAGGAGCAGTCTTTTCTGTGTATATATTTACCCTTTAAACCAGCAGAGCTAAATTTCAAACATTCAGTACAAATCACCAGTATTAAACCTAAATCTTTAGGCATATATATTTTTAACTTTAGTCATAGTTCTGCATCACCCAAAGTATTCCCAGTATATGGGTGAAGTTTGATATATAAGTTATCTTTTCTTTTATTTAATTCAGCAATCAATTAAGACTTCTTAGAAGAAATTTAATATAACCTTACTATTTTGAAAATTTTTTCCCAGAAAATTGAATTGTGATTTTCTGTTAGCAATAGCATTCTTGGTAGTTGTAAAGGGAGTTAAAGTACATCTGCATTCTGTAGAGGGTTAAACTCTTATATTTAGTTTAATAACAAGCTAGAGAAAAAGAGCTGCTATACTATGCTAGTAACTGTAAACAGAATTTTCTAATTTCAATATGAGAGTTGAACTGAAAATCTCCTGGTTCAAGTCTATATTATAATGTAGTGATTTTTTAAATGCTCTGTTAGCAAGAATAGACCCTTCATTTTTGCAGGGAAAAAATGTTTAAAATAACAGGCATAATGATAGAGCTGTAGCCTATTTTCATGCTCCTGTAAGAAAAAGGTAAATATTTTCTTTACTTTTAGATTTATTTTTTGTTTGTTTGTTTACTTTTCTACTACAAATTTAAGGATAAAAAACAACAGTGTCCCAATCTGCCTAGCTTAACAAACACTTCCATTTTTTTCACCTGAACATTCAGTCTTCCCTTTCTTTTTTCAGGCAGATGCAAAGAGAAAAATTACTGAAGAGGAAGATAATTTTACCAGAGAAATAACAGAGTTTAACAATGAATATGGACTAACAAGTAATAGAGATATTCATGTTAAAAAGAAAGTCAAGGCTGAAATAAATGATTTAGAGAATGAGGCAGCTCTGTTGAAAAATGGTAAGTCTTATATGAAACCAGTTCATCTTAGATTAAGACAAACCAATAAAATACAGCTGTGCAAACCAGTAATTTTAATTTCATTCCCCAACTGTCTGGAGCTTCCTTTTAGCACTGAACTGGAAGAGTGCTGTCTGACATACCAAGCCTAATTAAAGGCTCTTCTGTCCCCTGTCCTCTTCAGCCTTTCTGATGTGAGCATTGTGAGGAGAAGGAGCCAAGCTAAAGAGGCAGATCCCAATTCAGCCAGCACAGAGCTCACAGTCGTACACAGAGACCAAATTAGGTTTAGAATCACCTGTGGTTGAGCATTTGCTTAGCTTCAAAAGAATTGTGTACACAGATGTTCTGTAGGATTGGTTCTTTACTGCCACAGTGTAGCTTGGTTTTCAGTGAACATACAGAGTATGGGATCTCTCAGGGTCACACTGCAGGGCAGACCTTCCACAGGAATTCGGGGTCGTCATGGATCACAGGCTGAACATGAGTCAACGACATCAAAATGCCAACACCACACTGAGACACAAACAGAATTCTGACCTCTAGCACATGAAAATAATTCCTCCTTCTATTTGGGGCAGTTAAGCTGTGAACTGGAGTGCTGTGCATCTCATTTTGATCTTAAACTTATAAGAAAACAAAAGTGTGGACCAGCTGGAGAGAATCCAAATAGGACCAGTGAGAGTGATCAGAGTTCTGGAGCACATGAGAAGGAAGAAAATGAAAGAATTGTGACTATTTAAGCTATTAAGGAGAACACTGATGAAAGATGGATATTGGTCTTCAAATTGTATAAGTATCCTGTAGAAAGGAAATAAATATATTCTCTATAACTGTAGTGAACTGAATAAAAAGTAACAAGTGTAAAGCACAATAGAGGAGAGTCTGTCTGACAGCTTAGGAATCTTTCTAAGAACAGTGGACAACTGAATCTCTCTGCTTTAGAAGACTCCATTACCAAAGCAATTAGGAGTGTCCATTACCAAGGTTATCAAAAAAAGGTCAAACCAGCATTTTTCAGAAAAAAAGAGGTACAGCTGACCCTGTCTTCAGGGGAAGAATGCAGTAGATGACACCAAAAAATCCATTCCAGCCTCATGATCTGTCAAGCAACAGCACTTTCAATTCCCCCTATCTGCTGTAAGGATACTGAAAAAGATCTGTCTGCTGGAGTTTGCACTTGGTAACACCTTCCTTCTTTTTTCCTGTGGCTAAGATACTAATCTACAACTGAAAAGTCTCTATTTGGTGTTGAATGCTACTTTTAGCATTTAATTTTTACATATTCAAGCAGAACTGGGCAGTTAAATGATCAGTAGTACCTGAAAAGTGACCAAAATTCTTGCTCCAAGTTCAGTTGCCATCTCAGCTCCATCTTTTAATTGCATCTTTCTTGAGGCACAGCTTGTCTGTCTTTTTGTTTGCTACACTCCTGGGCACACTGAAAACTCTGAAGTGAAAAGTTTAAGCAACTCGTAACAAGAAAATTATGTGAGGACCTCCAACTGGTACAAAAAAAAAAAAAATCACAATTAATTCCAGATGCTGTCTAATAGTAAGGTTCAAATTTATACAATAATAAAAATACTAAGAAGTTGGGGTTTTTTTCAGTCCTGCTGAGATTTGTCTGTTCTCCACCTGTTCAATCATCTTCCTTTTTATATACCTGAATTAACTGTAAAGCAAAACATTCAAAACATTATTTTTATGCCCAGACAACAAAATATGCTGAACATCTCAATAACATTTAAAAAAATATTTCTTTCATAGTTACAAATATATTATATGACATAAATTCCTATGAACTGTGTTATATATGAATTATTTAGTTTATTTTGGTTTTATATTTAAGGTTCTTTTGAATAGCTGAAGATTGGTAGAAGTAGTTAAGAATATTTAAGATTTTATCATGAATGCTAAAACTGCAATGCATTTTAATTTAAAATTTATTTTTTCTTAGAAATGGAGTCAATGGAACATAAAAATGTTCAGTTAAATGCACTCCAGCTGCAGAAGAATGAATTAAAGCAGGATTTATTTACTCTCCAAAGTGAGCTCGAAGGTGTGCCTAATAACTATTTCTTGTGATAATTATTTCTGGCTTGACAATTGCTTTTGAAAAATGTTTGTTGTCAATTTTCTTTTCTCAAGCAAAAAGGAATCGTGGTAACGATACTTTAATTTATTTTTACAATATTTAATTATAATTTTTAAACATGCTTATAACAAATATTATGGATTTCAATGATATTTAATTTAAATGTCATTGATATTGAGGTCCAGAGATCTGCTGAATCATGAGCCATAAATATCAAAGAAAGTTTTGCTTTTGCCAGTAAGTCATACACTTAAATGTAGAATTTAATGTTTCAAAGAACTTAAAATCAACATAAATACTGTTTAAAATCCTCTGTGTCAAAGGTGATCATAGCAATATGGAATACTTTGAAATCTGTAATAAAATAATGTAAATGAGTGTTTCAGTATCTTCTTTTACCTCTATGTAGGTGTCACAGTAGGAGCTAAGAAAAGCAGTAAATATGATCCTAAATGGTTTGGGAAAATGAATGAAATTTTCTAGATTGCAATATGCAATTACAATAATAATAAAATAAATTTCTTTTTTAGATGCCTTTACCCATCAAAGAGTTTCATGAAGAAATATTAGAAAATATAAATTTAGAATATGTAGAAGGTCTTTGGATATGGATGATTAATATATATTAATAGGGTAATTCTGATTTCATGTTTAGACCTTGAGAAAGTAATCAGGGAAGCAGAAAGAATGACGAAGTATTTAGAAGCAGAAAAACTCCAAGTTACTGAAAAACCTCAGACCGATCCTGAATGTTTAAGGTAAAAGCCTCATGTTAATTAGTACTTAATTTAATTTTAGGAGTGTAACTGCAGTCTAGTCCTGGTAACAATGACTATTTTATCTTTCATGTACAACATTCCTTCTGAAATCGGCAGAACCGTTCATTTTTCATTAGATAGCCCCAAGTCCTGTTGTTGATTCCAACATTTCACCCTCACATACACACCCCAATGAACTCAAAACTGCAAGGGTTTGCAGGGGTGTCAGTCAAACCCCGAGGAAGAACAAACTGCTGCTGCTTGGGTGGAGGATCAGTTCTGAGCTCTTGTAAAAGTGGTGGTGGTGCACAAAGCGCTGACAAACTGCCCAGTGCTAAACTTATTTCTGCTGCCTGGCTGTGCAGAGTCCTTTGCAATGCACTGGGCTGGCCACAGTAACCCCCTTGGTTAGCTGGGTCTCCATTGGAGCAACTAAATGCAAATTTGTTTTCTCTATGATCTCTGCTATCAGTTCTAGTTTGCCTTCTAATTAAGCTGGGTTAAAAAAAATTTTGAAGACTTAACTAAGACAGAAGAGGAGACCTTGCACAATCTCCCTTAATAGTGAAGTTTTCTTCTCAGGATCTGAGTGGTGACAGTTTGTTTCTTGTCAGTTTGATTAAGTGAAACATTAGGTTTTCACTTCACAGAAAATAATGTAATGGGTTTTGTTGTTGTTTTTTTTTAAATCTCTGAATGCAAAAAGCCTATATCACATAATTGACTACCTTTTTGCTATTTTCTGATGGGCCAGATGAAAGTAACTGGGAATATTTAAAAATAATTAATAGACAATGCAAAGGAACTCCTTTTAAAGCTAGACCAAAAGATTCTCTAACAGAAATTGAGGAAAACGCATTACCACCACAGGGTTTTTTCCTATATATCCATAATCTTTTGACAAAAATAAATAAATATAGTGCGGATTTTTTTAATCTGAAAACTTTCAATGGAAAGTTATAACTTTGCAAAGAACCCTGAGCAATTTTCTGAAAGACAATTTGGTAATGACCCATTTTTTGCTGAATATTGGTTTTTGAAAGAAAATGATATATCAGCCCTATTTCTAACTCTCTTCAACCTCTTACATAGTGTTGAGACATGGCCAAAATCCCCTCAGCATAAAAATTAATTAGCTCACAATCCTGCATACAGTAGCAAAAAATTTGCATTCAACATATACATAGAAGACACAGTGTAAATAATAATAACAGTAACGATTCTCCAGGACAGCACATTATATTTCACTCCTTTCCATTATTCATTCAGTCATGATATATTGGGGTTGGTGATACACGAGGCTGTCAGCTTCCTTCCAAATAACATACTTCCCTTGGAATAGTTTACTGCCATGATGCCACTGAACATCCAAATTTGTGTAATTCGTTTTCTGTAGGAGGTTTCCTGTGTGGAAGGTACAGAAGTAGCCTACATTATCATACTTTTAATCCCCAGCTCTGCCACTGAGATCCTAAGGATCAATCAAATCCATATGTGCCTTTCTAGGCAGTGAATTAACTCCCAGCTCTTCAGAATGACACTTTGGTTTTCTCTGAGTGAAAAACTGGTTAAAACATATTAAACTCTATTAACTGCAAAACCAGCAAGTGTCATTTACAACCAAGGCAAGAAGGATGATGAGATTTTCTTATTTCATGAAGTGCCTCCTTTTATGGTCAAGATAAGTTAACATTATTTGATAATTGCATGTAGTGCAAAATATAAAGTGCTCCTATGCTATTACTGCTATCACAAAATGCAAGCCCTTCTTGAAGTCTAGTAATATACTCAACACATTTTCTTAAAATTGAAACTTTTTTTTTTCATTTCAGATACTGGAAAAAGTTTAAGACAGATTTGCCTAAATCATATTTTTATCTTGCACTTGCTTTTGATCAGAAAAGCTCAATGCTTCACAGAGAGAGATAGCCCTGAAAAAGTTAACTCAGATGCCAGAAGCAATAGAGCTGTGCTGCTGTATTTCCATGTCAGCACTAAGAGATTCTGCTTTTCAGTGGAGCCAAGCAGACAATCCTCATTTGTCTGCTTCTCTATGTCACTGCTGGGCTCTTTACAACCACCCAAAACTTTATCAGACTCATACAACTCTAGCAGTTGTTTGGGGCTTTTTTTTTTTTTTTTCCAATTTAACAAAGCCTACACATCACTTCTTGGTTTGAACTACTGAATTAAAAGAATAAAAGGGGATTTAAAGTATTAGACACTGTAAATTGTGCAGCATATAAATAGTCCCCTGGAGGGTATCTGATCACTCTCTGCTACCTCTGTATCATCAAGAGGATGGAGCCAGAATTTGCACAGTGCTACACAGCAAGAGAACAAAAGGCATAAAGTGGAAGTTGAAACAAGAGGGTTTGGAGTGAATTTAAGGAAAAAGCATTTTTATCAGGAGGAGGCACAGCTTGCTCAGAGAGGTTGCATAGTTTTCATCCTTGAAAGTTCTCCTTCTCGAGATACACTCATATACTTGTGTATATCTTAACAGGAGTCAATTTTGGTCATGTTAAAATCAATGTTTTTGAACCTTCTATATCTGAAAAACAACTCTTTTTAGCCTAACAAGATCAGGTTTTTTATCACCATGCATAGTTTATTGCAAGAATAGAATTCTAGTTTTCACTGACAATCATTTTTATTACACCTAAAGATGATAATATTTTGACACATATAATGTGTGCCAGAAATATACTTTTTTCCCTATGATATAACATAGGAAAAACTAGAACAAAATCTGATTTTTTACAGAGCTGGGAACCACACCACTCTAAGTGGTAAAAATACCTTTTTTTTCACGCTTCCTTAGAACAAACATGAGAGACAGTCAGCATCAATAACCTGATATATGTAGCTCCCAAATCACCCTGCAAGTCTGTTACTGTATCACATCCCTAGTCCCAGCTTAAAAATCAATATCAAAAGTAGCTGGCAAGGCAAGAATCTTCATTGCAATTAAGTATATATCTAAAAGTAAATTGCATTTCAGCTGAACAGCGTAGCCAGCTAATTCAAATTACAGCAATTCATCTTTGATCTGAGAAAAACGCCCCATACCACGTCTGCAGTTTCATAAAATTTCTCTGAAATCCATCAAAGAATTGTAAAGGGTCATGAGAAGCACACACCAGTAATTCCAGCAGCTGTTGGAGATGCTGTAGAGGCTTGTCCTGATCCACACTGGATGCAGAAAAAAATCCAACCAGAATTGTAATGTTAAGCACAGATGTAATTAGCAGGCACCTTGGAAAATAAGTCTCATGATACAGGTGCATAATTCAGGAATTTTTTTAAGAAAATAGGGCTTTTTTGTTTGTTTGGGGTTTGGGTTTTTGGTTTTGCTTTTTTTTCCCTAAAGAGAGCTGCAATTAAGATCAAAAGCCTTGTTTTAATCATCTGCTCTGCCAATGGCATCCTCAAACACAAAACAGCAGGAAAGAACTTTGACATCAGCTCTCTGGAGTCCCATTTCCCTGGCAGATAGCAAGTAACATCACTTAAGTGGAACATGCAGGAGTCAAACAGACACTAACTGATATCAGTAAATTCCAAACTATGGCATTTCACTGTTATATTCATTGTAATTACTGTATTAATTATTTATTCTTTCACATTTTAATTTTAAATTTTTGTGTTGCCTTAAGTAAAACAGCCTAGAAATAATTTTATTTGAAGTTCATTTAGACTAAAACCAGAGCATTTCTACCTAAAATAGATATCTTTCAACCTATTTAAAAAGTAGAATGAGGATAAAATGCTTCTTTGATACCTGACTTTCTCTTCTACTTCAGAAAATAAGTAGCAGAAAGGAAATGCATTAAATCTGCTTACTTTGTAAATAGTTCACAGCTTTGTAGACCTGTCTAAATCCTAAAAATATAGTATTCCTTCTTATTCTTCACAATCCAGAAAAAGAAACCCTATTACCAAATTTAGGAAGGAAGAAGTAATTTTTTCTTTCCTACAAATAATACAGGAAATATATTCTTTAGAGCTCAACAGATTGTTCATGCAAGAACAAGACTGCCTACACTCCATGAATTCTTCTGGTGGGTTAAATATTTTTTTTTTTTTTGCTATTTAATTTATGTTAAATTTTATAATCAGAAAATATCAGTCTCTGGAGTAATATATGTGGTTCAAAATGAGTTTTTCAATGGCAATCTCCTCATTGATTTTTTGAGCTTTTCTTTTTAATAGCAGTGCCTAGTGGAACTATTATAGCTTGAATTATGTTAAAATAGCTTTCCATTATGAATTGCAGAATGGATTTACAAAAAGCAGATCAAATCTGACTAATGATGCCTTTCTTTGATAAGGCAACAGATAGATTAGACAAAGAAAATTCCAATACCATCCATCTAGACATTAATAAAGTATTTGATGCTATCCCACGTGGAAAAATACTTGTTAGCCTAGGGGAGACATACTTAAAATATTAAATAAAGAAATGTGTAATAGTAAGAACAGTCCTAGGTCTGCAATTTAAAATTCTGGGACTCTAAGGTAACAACAGGTACAGTTGGTCTTGCTTAATGTTTTAATTCATGACTTCAGAATAGAAAATGTTTCAAGAGAACATTATCTTAAGCAATTAAACTCTACACCTAGCAGAAGGGTCACTAAAAAAAGGAGGAATATCATGTATACAATGTATCTATTTGTACACAATTGGGGACTTCAAGAAAAGGTACCTGGAAGCAGAGAGGTCTGAGCACAGTGTGTATGAAATACACACAGTGTACAAAATACAGCTATAAACATCAAAAGAAATGATAGCTGTGGGTGAGATAAAAGAAAGAGTTATTTCCAAAAAAAATACCAGGAGGGTGTAAGAATACTTTGTACATATCTCTCACCTACTTGTCAAAAAAGATTCATTCAACCTGGAAGACGAGCAGAACATGGAGAGCCCATAAAGCAGAATGAAACAAGGACAATTCTAAATCCTTTTTAGCTCTGAGTGTATTATACACATGAAGAAAGCAGTACATAACAGAGATAGTACCTTCAGCAATAGAGTAGCCCTACTAATATATCCAGATTAAGATCTAATTTTCTCTGTTCAATAGAAAAATCAAGATAATTGAACTAGAAGAACCATTGACCCCTATTTACTTTCCGTGCCTTTCAATAGGAATCTTATTGACCTCTAGAAACACATTTCATTTCACATCTCACATCCATGCTTGTGTATTTTTTCTTTCCTATGTAACTCATTCTTACAGTTCCAATGAAAAATAATCCACCCAACTTCGGTTTGCTGTCTGCACAAAAGCAAATCTCATTCTAAATGTGCAATTTAGTGTGCCTTAACCTTTCCATGTTTATTCATCTATTATATATTCTTTAAATATGACTTGTGATGTTTTATGTGTTTGAAAAATACCACCACACTTTTCAAGACCTCTAACTACACTTATGAATAGGTGCCTGACAGCATTCACAAAATGCAAGCTTTAATCAATGGTAACTATATATTTTACATTTAACATTTTATCCAGGACAGCAAAAGCAGAAAAATTCTTATTTTACTTAAAATAGCTAAATTTCCTTTCATTTGCACTTGATTTCCATTGTTATGTTGTCTAGTACCTTCTTAGTGTTCATGTTTCATCTTCTTGCTAGACTTTATTATTACTATTAGATCACTTGTTTAATTTTATTGTCCTTCTGCTCCATCGAGCACAGACTTTTATATTTAATTGTGTAACTCAAGTATTTGACTTTATATTTTGGGATACTATATTCCATTTAGGACTTTTTTTTTTCTCTTCCTTAATCAATTGATAATAGCCTGAAATTTATTGACTTCTCCAACTGTATCAATAGCATATTCTGTTTGGTAGTGTCAGCAAATTGTAAATACCAGCAAAATCTTGCTCTCATTGTAGAAACATACACAGTAACGTAATTCCAGTGTTAATCCCTAAGAATTACCTTAATGTCTGACCTCTACTTGAGCTTGAGACAAACTAAAGTCTTCAATACTTTTCTTCGGTCCCAATAAAGTCTTAGAATATTGATAAATGTATCTCCTGATTTTCATTATGAAATCCCAGACAATCAAGATATGTACTCTCAAGTTATATACAGCTTCTTAAGGAATTTCATTTTGTACCATGGATTCTATACCCTGTATATCAGTGTCAAGCAATTCTGTTTTATAACACACCACAATGTTTTCCCGCAAATTTATGATTAAAAAATAAAATGGTGGTCATAAACAAGGCAAAGACAAAAAGGAGAATAAGGAAAAGACTTTGTACTTGTGTCAGCTAAACATAACTAAGAGACAGTCTGCTCCTTCTGCAATTCCAACAGCAATTAAGTAGGGTCATTCAGCCCCACTAGAAAAAAAAATACTCTAAAATCACATATTAACCCTACCTTCTACTGAAATTATTTCTCCTTTAAGACCTAATGTAAAATTATTCTTGTAATGCAAGTTTTGGACTAAAGTTTTGATCCAGTAATTTGAATCTATGGATGATTTGCAGAGAGACCTGTTTGACAATAACATTATTTTCTTCATAGTTCAATTTATAATACCAGCATGTATTGATTTCAAATTATTTTTCCTCCTTGCCACGTGCATATAGAGCTGAAATTCAAGAAGAATGTGTATCAACCACAAATGCCAATGACATTTAATAGCTGGGCTCATTTCAGAGCTGCAGAATCGATCATCTTCAGTGATCTCCTCCTTCTTCATCTCTGTCACTTCTAGCATTCAAGACTAATGGAAAATGTGCCATTGATAGCAGACCTCAGTCTAGGACAAGACAGCGTCCAAAAAATGCTGATGTTGTGTTCCAACCTATTTGATTTAAGGCTAGGTTTAGCTATTGCAAATGTGGCATTTCAGCTCCAGCTGTTCATTAGAGCCTGTGATACTGTAACTTGCCAAGACACTGTTAGTCCACTGCAATGACTTATTTTAAAGCTATATATTGTTGTCAGCAAGGAGAACAAAATGCTAAAAATAAAACAAAACCAAAGGACATGGGGAGCCAAATGCTAATGTGATTTTTCAGATTATTTTTCCTAAGATATCTGCCTTTTTTTATAGTCATAAAAAGGGTATAATTGTCAAATTAATCCTTGTTCTAGCAAAAGTTACATCTTTTTCCATTTTCAAAGGTGACAGAAAACCTGCCTTCTATCAAGACAGTGTAGTTTCATGAATAATTGGTTTGCACATTCAATCTGATACTGGAGAGATGAATATGAATATCCTGCTTATCTTAAATGTAAAATGAAAAAACTGAATCTGCTTTCAGGTTAAACATTTTTTTTTAATAGTTCCATTGTCTCACATTCCTTCTGGTAAAACTTCATCATTTATTCAGTAACTCAGGCATCTCCAATGCATTAATTTTGTAGACTGTAACCTAACAGACAGCTCTTATTTTGTGAGTATATTATTCCTGGCACATACTGTAATTATCTAGCTTCTAAATAAGAAAGAAGGAAGACCTGAAAGCAGAATCAATTGATTAATGTAAGAATTAAACACCACATTTGAATGAATGTCTTGTGTCACCACTACCTGATGCTACATAAGGAATTGTGCTGTCACTACCATTAAAAGTCTTATAAAATATTTGAAATAAAATTTTAAATCCATACTCAAAATGTTAGTTTCAAAGCACATCATCAACAGAAATTAATTCACTATCCCAAGACACAAATAAGCAACTCCTACTGCTTATCTTCTGCACGTTCTATCCCTAATGTGGACCTAGCATGGACTGGCATAATTCCCAGCTAACAAGTGGCAAACAGGCTGTGCATCAGTTTTACAGTGTAAAAGACAATGGGAGAACATTTTCCCTAAGACTAGCATGCTCTGTCTTTTCCTAAAGTAAATTAAACTGAGTAGGGCTTTTGTTTGTCTCAAGCAAATTAGGGTTCTAATATCACACTAGCAGAGAACACAGAGAGAAAAATGTAGAGACAGGGCAATGAAGTTAAGCAGATTTAATCAAGATCACAAGCTGATCCTAGACTTTGAAGTGAACTTCTCTCAATGAAATGGACTGAAAACTAACAATGTACTACAGTGCAGTGGAAATTTCATTTCTTGAAGCACAGTCAAAATTCTCCTTTTGATTCGTGTATTATGAGAAATATTTCTGAAAGGACATTTACTGCTTCATAATGCAAGCATATAGAGCTCATACTTTTTCCATATTGATGGTAAGATATTTGCATTTTCCACAGGAACAGCAAAATTAACATCTAGTCTTAGTCTGTTGTTGTAAAGCTGCACACTGACTAAGCTATTCCTCTACTTAAAGGTACACCTTTTAATAAAGCCATTTCTGTGTAGAAAACCAATTCTCTTTTCACTAGGACAGCTAAAGAGGTACATCATCTCTATAATAAGGTCAAATAATTTATTGTCTATTATAATATATAAAAGCAAAAATAGTTGCTACCTTCTGTTTCAACTTCAGAAGAAACGGGGTCCTGCTTTAATGCATTGGTTTGCTATTTAATGACAAGCAGAGTATTTTCAGTCTGTACGTTCCAGAACATTCAGATTGTTTCCTGAAACTATATTAAGGGTAAATAACTTTATCTTTGTCATTTTGCTTTTCTTCTGACAGCCATGAAAAGACCCAATATAATCTCATCACCTTGTATTTATCAGACTGCTGAAAGCTCTGCCAGAGATTTCTCTAGGCCTACCAAGTATTAATTTAAACCACTACAGTCACTGATGCACAGAGCTGAGGTATCTCCTTTGAGCAGGACTTTCTGAATGAAGAAATATCTATATTAAAAGTAATCCTTATTGTAGAAAAGGTGGAAAACTCCTGGCTGGGAGTACTGGGAAACAGTAAGTGCTGAGGAATAGTGGGAAAAGTGGGGAGAGAAGAGGAGCAAAAGCTGTGGAGTTTGTGGAGGGTTTTGGAACAATGCTGGCCCAGGGGCAGCAGAGCACCCATCTATCCAACAGTCTGTCTCCAGCAGAGGCTACAAGAAGATACCCAGGAGAAATAAGAACAGCAATATATGTTACTTTCTAAGTATCACCATTCCAATTCACATGTTTAAATAAGGAAATTATGATTAGTGAGGCCATATATCTTTCACAGTTCATGGAAACAACACAGTCCAGAAATTTGTCTAACTAGTAAACTTAAATCCCAACCAGGAAAATAGATCAATGAGGCTTTTCTCACACAAGTCAAAATGAGAATTGGGACCAAAGCTGAAAAAAAAAGTTACCCAGCAACAGTTCTCTGACCTGAAAATTTATTTGCTTTTGGACACAGACTTAAGAAAGAGTTGGAAAAATGCAAAGATGATAATTGGGAAAGTGTCTGTGAGACTCTTCAAACAGAAATTGAAATTCTGCAAATGGTATGCCATTTTCATTATATATTTTAAGTGTTTGATAATTTTAGTTTTAGAGGTGTCCTTTAGGATGATTTGCAGTGGTTTTAGATAAGCAGTTTTTTATACTATGCACATGCCTAGATAGCCTCTTGATGCAGACGCATACCAATATTCATTTGTTTCAGCTTATTTCCAAATTTCCAGGAATATAATAATATAATTTCTACAGAAAAGGAAAGCACAAAGAAGAATTTAAAGATATGCTTTCAGCAGAAGAAAGATGTATTGTGGGGTGGGGGGGTGGGGGGGGAGGGACTTATATAAATTGTTAGTTTATTGAAAGCTGCAAAAGATTATGCATTTAGGAGCTAAATTAACCTTTACCTCCAGCTGCCAGTTAAATGGAAGATGGGAGTATGGAGAAATAAGATGATAATAACATCCTTTCATCTAGTATTTTATTTTGTCCACTCACAAATTCCTTACAAAAACTTACTAAAACATGTTTTTCTCTGAATGCCAGTCCTAACTTCAAGTTTCTTGATTGTCAGTTTGTGTCACAATACAAAGAGAAAAAAAATTTTGAAGTCCATTTTGGGAAACAAAGAGGTTTTAAAGGTTCATTTTAGAGCCCCTGATTGATCTGTACAAAGACACAGCTGCCACTACCATCAAGCAGAATGACAGTCCTGAGGAATTTACATTACTCAGGCTTATAATCAGTTTAAAGTTTCTGTTGAAGTAATGTAACTTACTTGTACTTTGTTAATTTGTTTTCATTTTTTTTTCAGAAAGAAAAACAAAATGGCTCAATGTTTAAAACTTTCTCTGTTAAAAAATGCTATGCTTATAATATTTCATTTTCTACAATTCCATTCTCTTTTCCAGAATTTAGCACAAAAGAAGTCTTCAGGGAAATGAATAGTATGTGGCATATAACATGGAGCGTTATAGAAGCAAGTCTGAGAATTTTTACATTGTTTTACTTCAGTTCTATCAGATTTGCTTCTGTTTTCTGTTTGGTTAATTCAAACTTTGTATCTGCCTTTACTTTCAATTAAAATAAAATTTGATTGATTTAAAAGTGAGGGGAGGTTTGTGTTTTATCTTCAACAGCTGTCCCTCTATATGTTCCTCTTTGTGGCCCATGGATCACAGTACCTGGTAAACTACACATAAGGCTCGGTTCCTACAATAATAGCTCTATTCTTTATGTACTATTTTTCACATGGATGGTCTCCTATTTTTAAAGGTAGTGACATGGTCTTATCTGAGAGGAAGACTGCTATTACCATCAATAACTCTTAACAGGAGCTGTGACTATTTCATCTATTCCTCAACAATGTAATGAACTCCCTGAAATAGCTCAGCTCTAGCAACACAGCTTGACAGTCCAGAAAAGTTTGCCAATCTACTGAGCTCTAGGTGCCTCTAGTGGTGGTGAGCCAGTCTTAGTCTTACTTAGCACTTGCCTTCCGATAACACAAAAAAAATCTTTTCTCCCTCTCCCACAACTCACAAAATACTGGGTGCTTCAGCACTTGAGAGCAGATAAAACCTTATGCTAAATGAAAAGTCCACATTCCTAGAGGGTTGGTGCAGAACTGACTTTATCATTCAGGTGCTTACAGTAAAACCATGTAAGAGCATTCACTCTGCTCAGCCTCAGTCCTCTCTGCAGCCACAGTCTCTTCACATCCCACTGCATGTGCAAGTACTTTTCAATGCTTCCCGCCTGAGGCTGCGATGGAGAATTGCTCTTTGCTGCTTTTTCTACACCCTGAGCCCTCCAAGCTGCAGTGAATGTCTGTCACCCATAAAACTGAAAAAGATGTTTTATTAAGAATGGATGAATAAATCACTTTTGGAAGCTGACCAAAATCTGCCTTAGATGGAGAAAGTTTTTCCTCTTGGGATACAGCTGCAGTTTGAAGTTTGGCAAGGTTTGATCTGCAGCACTGGTATCAAAGAGTCTGCTGATCCACTGCTGATCCAAGTGGTTGGAATGATCATTTTTAATAACCAGTGATGTTGATGCTGACATCCCTATAAGACTTTTTTTGTCTCTTCCCTAAGAGAGATCCTCTTAGGATTGCTTGATTTTAAATAACTTGGTCCCACAGGCTTCTATGGTACCATCTGACTTCTAAAGTTAGGCAACTGCTGCCTGTGGGTTTTGATCAAATCCAAAATAATACAGTTACATATCAAAACATCTATAGGTAGCTAAAACAGTGCTATTTCTGAGTTTAATTGATGAAACATAAATCTGGGATTTGCTAGAATGGTTGAGTTTATCTTGATCATTTTTTCTTCATTTAAGAAAACTTGCTTATGTTGAGTGTATTTGGCAGTCAACCAGAAAAACCTTCAAGTTTTGTGCTTGTCTATTTATGGTTGCTTTTATTTATGAAAATCCTTGGATTTCTTTTGAAATGGTCTCATATTTATACAGCTCTTTGGTCCATATAGATTAAATATTCAGATAGGACATAAACCAGAGTTTACTGGCTTACCTCAAATGTATATTTCAAATTTTGGTCTAAATGGAATTAGAAATAGTATCCAATAACTACTAATTAATACTATAGATCAATGTCCCTGTAACACCTGAAAAATCATCTGTGGGAAAAAATATGTTCTTTTCAGAGGCTTCAAATTCCAGCAAACTGATTGAAAGTTCAGTTTTTTGTATGGGTGCATCTTTTTTATGTTAGGCATGTGTGCGTGAAAGTCTGTGAAAGTCTGACTTCTTGATTATTGTAGTAGGATTACAGCATAAATATAGCAACATTTGTAATAACCCCAATGGCTGAAGTTTTCAGAATCAATATAAGAAAAAAACCCAAGAATAAAGATCACCAAAAAAAGAAAAGTGAAACAGAAATCAATACAAATCCTATTGGGCTAAACAAATCCCTCAACAGCTCTGAAAAAAGTATGCCAGACTAACCCAGTCGTTGCAAGGTGAATGTAATACATACTAATTTTTCTAAGTATAAAAATACATTTGTCACCACTGTGTTAGGAGTAATGCGATTTTGGACAAATACAGTAATTCTGTTTTTAAGACTAACCAAAAGAATAGTAAAAATTTGTGTTCTGTGGATTTTTTTTTAATTGTCAAACTGCGTATGAGTAATCTTTTAAATAATGAATGCAAAAGAACCAAATCTTTTTTTATGCTTAATAAATAGAAAGAAAAGAAAGAATTGCCAGGTTGCCATGAAAACACACAGACTTATTATGAATAAGTGGATTCTTTCAGAGATGACATAATAAAAATATCTTTTTAAGTGCAGGTTGCATATTATATGGATGTAGTTGTCCCTTTTTAGGCCAGGACAAAGAAGACAAACCACATGGCTTAACTGTGTAAAAACTGCCCCCATGACCTAATGTTATTTCTCCAGAGGTGAAGCTATTCTTAAAGCAAGGAACACCTACAACGAGGGGGGGAAAAAACCCCATGCAAATAAAAGGAATTAAAATGCAATTATTTTGTATTTTATTGAAGAATGATTTAAGCTATCACATTTTCATGTTACTTTATTCATTATTATGAACATTTCAAAGACTAACAAGAAAACCACTACAATTCCTGACCACAGAATGAAATTACAGTTAGCTAAGTAACAGTGCCCACACAAATTATCTCTAATTGGTTGACATTAATATGATTGAGCTGCTGATAGTGCCAAATTAATGTCATAGAATGAAGAACAGCAAGGAAAAAAACTCATAAAAAACAGTATCTGTAACTGAATGACAGAATGAGAAGTGAGAAAAATTTCCTTTGTATGACATGGGGAAAATACATCAACTGAGGTTCCGTATCCTTCTTCAGCTGACCCAGCTACGAGGTCCTCAGTCACAGGGGGAAGTGACAGTCTCCAGCTACAGGGCTGGTTGCCTGATTTGAGCTTGACAGTTTGGCAGTTGACTAATCTAAAAAAAAATTAGACATCAAGATCTGTGTGGACCTGATCAGGTGCTTTCTGCTCTGATATCACAGCATCCACCAGAGTGATTTTGGATAAAACTGTGGGTATCCCTCTATATTCTCATGCTGGTCCATGTTTAACCTCATCCCAACTCAGCTAAGCTCAGGTGCAGAGTGAATCAGCTGGCTTAGCACAAGTCATCTTCTGTTTGATAGTGCTGTGTAACCCAAGAAAGGATTTCACCACTGACTGAGCTGGAGAAAGAGATAGGGGCCTTATAAAAAATCCTCAGGGGATTTCCATGAAAAAGGTAACAGGCTTAGCAGCTGTGCTACACACCCATTTTCAAGGACGACAATGCAATAAACAGATACTGGCTAAAGAGGACCAGCAAAATAGTTGCAGTTCTCTGAGGTTAAATGTGGCACTGCAGTGGAATAACTGGGTAACAGATCAATGATTCAATCAGACAGATCAACAGATTCAATGACTAATGACTTACCTCTTGCTTGTCAATAGAGTAGTTAAGCAAGTAGTAGCTCTGCTTCTTTTATTGATTGCAGCTGATGTGTAGTGCTTACATACTGTAGTGATAGCCCCACCTTCCAAACTCCCATCATTTTTATGTTTCTGCTCAGGATTTGTCAGCCCCCTATCCAAATGGCTTTTGCAATTATTTGCTTGTTCAGTTGGTGAATTTTTGGGGTTAAGTTTATCAAGTTTCTAGATGCACCAGGCTGCTCGTAGTAGCCCTCTGTATAGCAAAGCATCTGTATTCTGGGCTGAAAAACAATTATATTTACTAATACCTTCTTCTGCAGAAGGACAGTTTTCACCTGGCTCACCAGTAAAGCTCCTAAAGCCCAAACTGTCAAAAACACTTACAGACTCTGAGTCCCAAGGAGGGGACGTTGCCAGCTCCCATTCTCTGAAGGGCCAAACTCAAGGCACATCCAGACATTTACAGTCACCTCAAGTCACCCTGCTGATATCTGTAGGGTCTGAATGTGTTTTCAGCATGAGACTGCCATCAGTGGAAGGTTTACAATTATTTTAATTTTTGACTAAAATGTTCTCAGAAAAAAACTCTATCACTCTGAATTTTAAAACACTATGCTATATACCCTCTAAATTTCTTCAACCAGACCTATACATTAATTCCCTTATTTTATCAGTTTCACCATTCCTGTGATCATTCCCACAAGTCAGTCACCTTGAATAGCTGAGGAGCTTAAAAATTTCTGGGAAAATGTGAAATAAGAGCTGATTTATTTCTTCCCACTTAATGCCTTGAGTACTTAAAGGTAACAGCTATTTGTTTGGAAGAAACATCTCCAAAGTGATCAATTTTACCTGTAAATAATTTATTATATAGATGAAATCCCAGAAAAAGAGTCTTTGTAAATACCAAGCATATTTCTTGTGTCTTACTGGAACAGTAATTCCTGTTATTGTGTATTAATAGAATTTGAGGCAGTTTTGATGTCATGTCCTAGTGAGAGGAACCCGTAGCCTCTATTCACTTTCAAATAGAGAATTGCTGTTATTAATTGAACTAAATTTACTCTAGCAGAAAGAAATCCATGTTCTAAGGAGGATTTAATACAATTTGGTACAGATTAAGTTCCCTTAAACAAAGCCTCCAAACATTTAAGTGCATAAAGATAATGCAGATAATCATAAAATAAACAGTGAAAAGTATATTATGCACAGTTAAAGAGAAAGAAAGAAATCCACACATAATATCAGAATTTTATGTCTCTAAGATTCTTTATACTGTGGTTCATAAAATCCTTTTCACTTTGATTAAAATACTTGGATAATGAGGCTATTGGTCAAAGTGAAAAGAATTGTAAAGGGATGTTTCAGTGCCATCTAGTGGGTTTATCATGTTAATAAAGAAGTTCCTTCTTGTATAACAATTTTTATTTTATAATCATAATCAAAAAACAATTTTTGCTACTGCTCTATGCTTCCTTTTCCTTCAGTTTTGTACATAATGCTATTGGACACATTAACCATTAAAATATTTGTGATTTTGCTTCTAAAGCCATTCTGTTTCTGTGCAAAAGTAAATACCATGCAGGGTGGGAGTGTACTGAGCTATATTGCGTACAAGGAGAA